TCCCTGAAAAGAAATGAAAATGCTCTGTCCTTAATGTGCTGTACATGGTATTTAATGCTATAACTAGTACTCAAACAGTATTTTTCACTTTGTGTTTCTATGTGGGTGCAAACTGTTGAAATCTTTACTTAATGTATGCTAAACTGATCTTCTGTGTTTAAAGGGAATTGAAAATGAATCTTGATATGAATGGAAGGGGAGAGGGAGCAGGAAAGGGGAGGGTTGCGGGTGGGAGGGAAATTATGGGGGGGAAGCCATTGTAATCCAAAAGCTGTACTTTGGAAATTTATATTTATTAAATAAAAGTTAAGAAAATGCTAATTAAATGCATCCATTTTCCTAGATTGGTTACTGATTCTCACCTATGCAGGCAACAGCACTGTCTTTGGGACTGGTAGAGCTTGTTGGGGCCAAAGAAGACAGATTGCATGGAGCTAGTGTCTGGGACTGGTTTCCTGCAAATACCAAAGTGGTCAGTCATACAAAACACAAAATGTTAAGAGGAGTAAGGAAGCTCAGATGGAGTGTCCTGTAGATGAGTATTGGAGAAGCATCACTTTAGAGAGGAAGTCAACCTAAGAGTGAATTGGGTATTTGAGAAAAGCTTGGCATATATTATGCTTAAACAACAAAGTCTATGAAAATTAAGTTCACTTGTCCTCTAAGAAGACAAATGAGATTAATATTCTGACACGCCTCTCATGATCCCTCAATACTCTTCATTCTCTTTCATTGCTCCTCTCCATCCAGTTCCTAAGGCACATCATGTGGGGGAGGCTCATCCCTGGATACCCTTCACCTTCTTACCTGAGCAGATCACAGAGGCCACTTGGCCTGCTGTACAAAGCGATGCACCCAGAGCAGTTACAGGACAATCGCCTATGTGCTGCTCCATCCCACTGCAGTGAAACATGTGTCTCCAGACCTGGCCACTTCCTTTCCCAAAATGTGCTCCTCCTGGGATAGAAAGGGCAACTCCACATTTAAGCTGCTGGCAAAGAACGTGGGCATCTTCTATGTCCCAGTGAGAATTGCAGAGGGCTCCCCAGGTCCCAAGCACTTTGAGCTCCACCCTTCCCTCACAGGATGACTTGCCATTCACCAACCGAACTTCTGCGTATCCTGGAAGGAGACAGGGCTTTAGAAAAAATGTTTGTGACTACCTTACCCTACTCCCTTCCCAGTATCAGAGCAAACTGAAGATTCCTCTGGGCCTCACTTGAGCAGACTACGCCAATGTCCCTGCTATGGTTGCAAGTCCCATCTGTGCGGAGTGCTACTGGGCAGAGTGAAAGATGCATCTCATTTCCCTCACATAGGTATTCTTCAGCCCAGATCTGTCCATTTCCTTCTCCAAAGTGAGCTCCCCCAAGGATAGAGATGGCTGTGCCACACTGTAACTCTCTGCATAGCACATTGGCAGCTTCCAGGGAGAAGTCAGAATCACAGACGGAGCCCCATTTGTCACCATGCTTCACTTCAACACGACCAGAGCAGGGAATGTCCCCTCCAGCCAGCCTGGGTTCCCTGTGGCCTGAAAAATAATAACAGTTATGTGAGAGATGACATGGTTTCTCGATTTTCCTTCATGCTGGGGGTATGGAAGGGATTGAAGAGTTGGAAAGGGAGGCCATGATGCTTGGTGACTTCTCACACTTGTTCCTCATGGCTTTGCCATGAGACAAAGACTTTGACACAGCAAATTCCTGACCTCCTCATTTCTCTTTGGACCTAACCTTCTGAAAGAATTCTGTAACTTTTCCGTCTATAGACAACCATTCCTGGGGCAATGATACTTCTTTCCTTCTAGCATTTTTCTTACATTATTCATAACATTAGAGGCCACTGACTCCATCTCTTGGTCCTGTACATCATCCTCCACTCACTGCATCTTGGGTCTGTCTTCACCGTTTTTGATGCTTCTATGTAGTTTTCATCAAACTTCTGACTTTTAAAAATAAACATGACCCATTCTTACTTGGGCATTTATTACCTTGATATGTATGTCACTCCTTCCCCCCGTTTTCTCCTCCTTGCTTCCTGACAGCCTTATCAAAATCCTTTATGCATTCCTTGAGTCATGGTTCTGTCTTGAAGCTTCACATCTGCTCATGAACGTTTCAGCAACCAATAAATATGTTTTCCTTCACATGTTTCATCATTCAAAAAGCCAGAGAATTAGAGGTATTCCAGACTAGTGTTTCTTTGCAGTTTCAAGGATATTACTGGATATTTACTCACTTAGAATTAAACAGCCCTAAAGGCATTCGGAGCTGGCTGAAAAGCTCATGAGAGTATTTCAGGCATGGAAAGCCAAGACACTCTGGCAAAAGATCTCTGCGAGTGAGATCCCAGTGGAAAGAACAGGTCATCAAAGAAGGAGGTACCTTTCTCTGAATGGAGGAGAGAACCTCCACTTTGACTATGACCTTGTCTAAACAAGATAAGAGTCGGAGAACTCAGAGGGCTTCCATAGCCTTGGAAACTCATGACTGGAGCATAGGGAGATTACTGATGCCATAGACAGGAGTGTCAATTGGTAAAGTCAACAACAGGAGTCACTGTGCACTTACTCCTCATGTAGGATCTCTATCCTTAATGTGCTGTACATTGAGATTTAATGCTATAACGAGTACTCAAACAATATATTTCACTTTGTGTTTCTATGGGGGTGCAAACTGTTGAAATCCTTACTTAATGCATACTAAACTGATCCTCTGTAAAAAAAAAAAAAAAAAGAAATTATCAATTCCCAACTTGACTCTCACTGGGATTAAACATGACAATAGTTCTGCTCTGATTTCATCATCATTTTAAAAAAAATCATCTATTATTTTTCACTTTATGTTTCTGTGTGGGAGCAAACTGTTGAAATCCTTACTTGATGTATATACTAAGCTGATCTTCTGTATATTAAGATAATCGAAAATGAATCTTGATGTGAATGGAAGGGGAGAGGGAGTGGGAAAGGGGAGGGTTGTGGGTGGGAAGGACGGTATGGGGGGAAGCCATTGTAATCCATAAGTCGTACTTTGGAAATTTATATTCATTAAATAAAAGTTAAAAAAAAATAATTAAACTTCTTAGTAAGTTGATTAAATGCCTTACCTGAGCAGGTGACTTGGGCTTCTTCTTCGGGATCACAGGGAAGTCCACCCCACTGCCAATTGTTGCAGTCCCAAAGTGAACTTTCATTTCCAATACAGCTGCTTGCAAATAGCCATGTGTTTGTTGCCTTAATTTTGGAATACACCTGATAGGATGTTTTGAGTGCAGATCCACATCCCAGTTGCCTGCAAACCACATTAGCTTTTTCCATTGTCCAGCCTTTGTTGCACACCTTCCCTAAAAGTTTCTGAATTTCCACCTCCACTGTTCCAGCACAGCGGCTGCCTCCACCAACAAGTCTCAGCTTCAGGTCTGATCCATCTGTAAAAAAAGCATAAACTTAGGGTATAGATTCTCTCAAAGGATTTTTTTTGTCTACCACCTCTTCAGATGCTGAAATACTGAAATTATGGTTTAGTTATTTCCTGACATTTTAAGAAGACAACAAGTATAGATCATGAATCTGATTAGAAAAGAGATTGTAGTTTGAAAAGCTAATAAAAATTGTCAACAGTAGGCCGGCGCCACGGCTCACTAGGCTAATCCTCCGCCTGTGGTGCCAGCACCCCAGGTTCTAGTCCCAGTTGGGGCACCGGTTCTGTCCCGGTTGCTCCTCTTCCAGTCCAGCTCTCTGCTGTGGACTGGGAAGGCAGTAGAGGATGGCCCAAGTGCTTGGGCCTTCACCCGCATGGGAGACCAGGAGAAGCACCTGGCTCCTGGCTTCAGATCAGTGCAGTGCGCTGGCCGTAGCAGCCATTTGGGGGGGTGAACCAACGGAAGGAAGACCTTTCTCTCTGTCTCTCTCTCACTGTCTAACTCTGCCTGTCAAAAAAATTGTCAACAGCAGAAATTTATGAGCATTATTGCAGCTTAGTTCACAATAGCTAAGATATGGAATCAACCCAGATGTCCATCAATTTAAGACTGGATAAAGAAATTATGATATCTATATACTATGGAATACACAAAGTGGTGAAAAAATGAAATCCTGTCATTTGCAACAAAATGGATGGAACAGGAAACCATTATACTTAATGAAATAATCAAGTCCCATAAAGATAAATACCATATATTCTCTCTGATCAATGGTAACTAACAGAGTACTTAAAATGTAATCTATAGGAGTGAAATTGGCACTTTGTTAGGCAATGATATTGAACAGCCCTTGTCCTGACTGTTGAGAAACAATGTTTGTTTTGTTTTGTTTTGTTTTTTTCCTTTATATTATTTGTTGAACTCTCTACTTAGTGTAACATTAATCTTATGAGTATAAAGTTAACTGAAAATAGATCTTTGTAAAAAATAAGAATGGGAATGAAAGAAAGAGGAGGAAGGGTAGGAGTATGGGTGGGAAAGATTACTGTGTTTCTAAATTTCTATATATGAAATGCATAAAGTTTGTATTCCTTAAATACAATTTTTTTGACAGGCAGAGTGGACAGTGAGAGAGAGACAGAGAGAAAGATCTTCTTTTTGCCATTGGTTCACCCTCCAATGGCCGCCACGGCCAGCGCACTGTGCTGATCCGAAGGCAGGAGCCAGGTGCTTCTCCTGGTCTCCCATGGGGTGCAGGGCCCAAGGACTTGGGCCATCCTCCACTGCACTCCCAGGCCACAGCAGGGAGCTGGCCTGGAAGAAGGGGCAACCGGGACAGAATCCGGCGCCCTGACTGGGACTAGAACCTGGTGTGCCGGTGCCGCAAGGCGGAGGATTAACCTATTGAGCCACGGCGCCGGCCCCCTTAAATACAATTTTAAAAAATTCATGAGCATGATGTCTGGGTTTTGTTCATGTTTATGTTCCCAGTATTCAAAATGATGTCGTGGCATTTTGATTCCAAATAAACAATCAAATATGGTAAAACTAAAGAAAAGGAAAAAGAGAGTCCCACAGAAATTTGTCTCTGAGTTATTGACTTAGAATTTGAGTAGTGATCCATAACAGAAAACTTAATAATTAAGACACAGAAGAGAGTTGGACAACTCTCCACACTAGCTGAATAAAGAATGAGACAACAGGGCCGGCGCCGCGGCTCACTAGGCTAATCCTCCGCCTAGCGGCGCCGGCACACCGGGTTCTAGTCCCGGTCGGGGCGCCGGATTCTGTCCCGGTTGCCCCTCTTCCAGGCCAGCCCTCTGCTGTGGCCAGGGAGTGCAGTGGAGGATGGCCCAGGTGCTTGGGCCCTGCACCCCATGGGAGACCAGGAAAAGCACCTGGCTCCTGGCTCCTGCCATCGGATCAGCGCGGTGCGCCGGCCGCAGCGCGTTGCCCACGGCGGCCATTGGAGGGTGAACCAACGGCAAAAGGAAGACCTTTCTCTCTGTTCTCTCTCTCTCACTGTCAACTCTGCCTGTCAAAAAAAAAATTATTTAAAAAAAAAAAAAAAAGAATGAGACACCAATTCCTCACAACTGTAAGTTAATTCCCAGTGAGGAATTTCTTAGGTCTGCACATAGCTCACATCACACAGCTATTCTTACTCATAAAGAGCACAGATCCTTTCTTCTCTGCTTTTTGTTTCATTCTGACTTACCTGAGCATGTCACGCCAGCATCCTCATGATGACTGCAATAATGCTTTCCCCAGTCTTGGTGTTTACAATGCCAGAGATCAGACTCATACCCATTGCAGGAAACACTGTCAAGCCAAATGTGTCCAGATCCCTCACTGGCATTAACTCGACCAATGGCCGTGATGGCAGTTGGACATCCCAGTTGTTTACAAGCCACAGCGGCATCCTTCTTGTCCCAACCATCATCACATATTGTTCCCCATTCTCCTTGGAACTTCACTTCTAATCTTCCAGAACATTCAGTGACTCCATCTACCAGTCTCAGGCTCAGATCTGCCCCATCTATAACAGGGACACACAACAAGTCAACAATAAGGAAACTTAAATGAGGGTACCACAAACAGCTCCACCTGAGATGAGTTAAGGAAAGGGGAGAGATATCAGTGGAGACAAAGATGACCATGCTTTACGCCTCTGAAAATTGTTAAAGAGGGAAGGTGGGAAGGTGGGAAGGCGGGAAGGTGGAGTGGGTCAGGCAAGGAAACTGGACTTTTTAGTATAGAGCACATACTTCCGGAAGCTTTCCTAACAGGAGATCTGTTTAGATGCATGCTTGTTTGATAATCACAATTTTGCTTGGATTGTTTACTTTTCTTGTTCAAATACATTTGCATGTGTTTCAATGAAACCCACATATTCCAATGTGCCTCAATACTAAACACTCCCTTTGCATTACCCATCTATATTACCTAATTATGTTATTTTTCTGCTCCTCTTGAGAGCACTTCCATAGTCTAAAAGCAGAGCAAAGGGACCACATCATGGCATAGTTGGTTAAGCCACCACCTGTGGTCGGCATCCTATGTGGGTGCTGGTGTGAGACCTGGCTGCTTCACTTGCAATCCAACTCCCTGATAATGCACCTCGGAAAGCAGCAGAAGATGGCCCAAGTGCTTGAGCCTCTTCACCCATGTGGAGGACCTGGAAGAAGAAGCTCCTGGCTCTTGGCTTTGGCCTGGCACAGCCCTGGTGCAGTGGTGATGGCATTTTGGGGAGTGAATCAGCAGATGGGAATTCTCTTCTCTGTCTGTCTGTCTGTCTCTCCCCTTGCCTCAAATAAATTATTTTTTAAAAAGTAATTGGAGAAAAAGACAGAACTCAGGTGACTTTTTCAAGCACCTGAATCTAGTCATGCATGAAGCCACCTGTAACCTCTGGATTTCTCAGTTTTCTGAATCAATATTCCCTTATTTTAAAATTTGTTTGAATATAATTTCCTTCCTTTGGTTGGAATGGGGAAAGGGTGAATGGAAGAAAGGAGGAAGTGAGTGAGAGAGAGAGAGAGAGAGAGAATTGGTTAAGATAGGAATATTTTTATTCAATATTTCCTAATAGATCTCTGAAGGTCAAGACACAATATATCTCTTTCAAACTAAGAAATCAATAGAACAAGGAAGAGTGGTAGCCTTGCTCACACCAACCCATTACCATGTCCCCTGATCCAGTTGTGGAATATGAAAGTTTCTAGGTAGACACAGAGCATACTCACCCTGTAACCCTACTATAGATGAGATTTTAGTAGGAAATAAAAATGTTGGCTTTTAAGTTTTGTTTTCATCATCTGATTCTGTTAGTCTGAACTAATGATTTGGGAAAGAGTGGATTAATGGGGCTAAACAGGAGATTTGTCAGTTAGATGAGGAGGTGAGCTGCTCTTAAAACTCATCCAGGGAACAAAATATCCTTGTCAAGACCCTCCTCCCTCTCTCTTTCTTGTTGGACATTCCTTGCCTTGATTATGATCAGAACTGGAACCCCAAATGAGGCAATAGTGAGGTGGCAAAGGAAGAGGCTTCCTATGTTCCTGAGAGTACAGGCTCTTGAGACTCAGTCCTCTTGTGCAGAACAGCCTAAGCTTCTTGAGTCCTTACCCGAGCAAATCACACCAGCGTCCTCAGCGTGATCGCAGTTGTGCGTGCCCCATCCTCTGTGCTTGCAGTTCCAGAGAGCTGACTCATTTCCACTGCATACAAGATCATCAAACCAGATTGGCCCAGAACCTTCTCCAAACTTTGCTGAAACAAGGAAACTGATGACACTTCCACATTCAAGTTGCTTGCAAACCACAGTGGCATGATCGATATTGAAGTTATCATCACACACTGTTCCCCACTGGCCTTGGAACTTGACCTCTATTCTTCCTGAGCACCGGTTTCCTCCATTCATCAGCCTCATTTCCAAATCAGATCCATCTAAGGCAGAGAAAAGACCAGAGTCCACAAGTGATATTCATTTAGGGATGACTTTAGAAAATGAGGTTCCTCTGGACACTTGGGATTTTTTGCTGTCCTTAAATTATACTCCACATATTGGAGAATTTTAATCTGTAAGATTCAGTTAACAATTCAGATTTAGACTTTTCTCTACATCTACTTACCAAGGAAACTATTTTGCAAATTAAAATTTTCTGCTTTGTTTTATTTCCTTTCACTACTAAGACAGAAATGAATATTCTTTTGTATAGAAATAGATAAATTTAATCAAATCGTTTATTTTTAAAAAGTAGAACAAAAATAAAATCAGCTGAAACAATAAAGCAGTGAAAATAACAAACTAGTTGTCTGTTGAGCATTTAAAATCTTTATTTTAACATTTATTACAACTAATTCAGAATGTGAATAGCTGAGTAAAGTTGAATTTGGAAATTGAAAATAAGACAAAGCAAAAAATGCATAAGTAAGCAAAAACAGCTTGCACACAAAAAAAGCACACTGTGGTATATAAAATTCTTAAAACTTGGGGGAAAATCTGTTCAGTTAATTCCTTTATTACCAATTTTCTCTTGGAACCAAATCTTTTATAGTCCCCAAAGCATCTGCTATCATTTTAAGCAACAAATTTTTCTTATGGAAATTTATCTGTATCCACTATCCCTTAGATTTTCTCTGAAGAGATGATTATTTGATATTTATGAAAAATACCTGAGAAAAGATTTTGAATGACTTTTTGGAACACCTGAGAAACAAAAGCTATTTGTGATTCAACAAAATGTTTAGAAGCTCTTTCTTGAAAAAGGAATTATTTTTAAAAGCTCTACACTACACAAGTGTCCACTTAATGAGGTTTTTATTTAGCATTATTGCCATTATCACAACAACTCTTCTTGTGTGCTGTTATCATTACCCTCCCTGCGCAGAAGAGCAGCCTGAGTCTAGGTGTTTGTCATGAGCACCTAGAAAATAACAGAGCCGGGAAGAGAAAGAAAGGAGTGCCGTCCTGGAGCCAGTTCCCTTGACTCTCACGATGCACTGCTTCAGTGCCCATCAATACTAAAACCTCCCAAGAGCTGGAGGCTCTGAGGACTGAACATTAATTAGGGTGCAGGACTTCAGAGTGCAGACTCCATGACCTCATAAAATTAGGGAATCTTTGAACAGTAATAAGTTCTTTTCTATTATTCATTTCTATGTGGAGGATTAGGTGTACACATTTTGGAAAATGAGTTTAACTCCATTCTTAGTTAAAAACAGACAGGACACAAGAGCTGAAAATAACACTGATGTCTTAGCTAAACAGCAGCTCTATAAACAGTAATAATTATGGTGACAACTTGGTAAGATTTATGATTTTAAACTTTGCTATAGATGTTACTTTAGTTATTCCCTAGTCTCCCCTACTCCCATAATGATTAACAGGAAGAGTAAAGGAGGAAGAGGAGAAGTGGGAGAGAGTGGAAGAGAGACAGAGGGAAAAGAAGGAGGAGGGAAGGACAAGAGGGAGTGAGGGAGGAAAGAAGAAAGGAGGGAAAGAAGGAAACCGAGTTCACAAGATAATGAAAGATAGGCAGTGTGAGGAAACACATATTTTCAATACCCAGAACAGTATACCAGTAGCTTTGCATGCATTGTTATCAGAGTCCTCAGAAAGTGAAATTTAGAGTTAACAACTTGCACGAAATCATAGCAATAATGAGTGACTGTGCTAGAATTTAATTCAAAGCATTTTTCTAGATACCAGTCTATGCTGTTTCCAACACACTGTGACATAGATTGTAAAAGTCAGCAAAATGAGCAAGGGGAAATGGGGAGCCCAGGAGTATGAACTGGGTCCAAAACGTGACCTTGATATTTGCAAGCAGAAAGGCCTGATGTGTAATTTCTGGGTTACTCTGAGGTCAACTGAGATAAAACTTACAAGGTAAATGAAATCACAGTGTAAATTAAATGAATAGCAGTGCACAAGGGAAATCACACTGAAGTGCTTCAAAACGTTCATGGAAAATGCACACTACTTTCAATTCCACTTTTCCAGGACCTTTTTGAAGCCCTTCAACCTTCAAAGCATGCTGGAAGCAACAGGAAGGATATACTGGTGCTAGGAATATTTTTTACTTGATTCACTATGTGGATTATCATTACTGGATGCAATGGTAATGATTTATGGTTTAGTACCTTAAATGAATATGTCACTGGGAAAAGGGATAAGGAATTGAGTTAGATGTTAAGATATTTTATGGAGGAATATGAGGTTACAAAAAGCCAGTCACTTCCTTATTGATTAGTCCTGTTTCTCTGATTTTAATTATAGTAATAGTATTTTATGAAAATTTTATTATAGGGGTAGGTGTTTAGCATAATGGTTAAGGTGCTGTTAAGCTGCCCTGGTTCCACATTGGAGTGTCTGGGTTCAATACCTGGCTCTGGCTCTGGAATCCAGCTTCCTGCTAATGCAACAGGTGATGGCTCCAGTAATGGGATTCCTGTCACTCATATTGGAGACCTGGATTGGATTCCCAGCTCCCAGTTTTGGCCCTGGCCCAGCCTCAGCCCCAGCCTTTCAGGCACTGTATCAAGTACTTTAATCAAGTTCACTCTCTCTTCAATTAATTTGCTAAGGAGATGGAGATGTAACAGAATGAGAGACAGGCAGAGTCACAGAGCTGGTAGGTGCCTAGGCTGGCGTTCCTTATAAACTGCTAGCCTGCATAGTTCCCTGCAAGACCTAAAGCCATTGTCTTGTCTGGATGCACAGCTGTCTGGCAGCTCCAGCATCATCTGTGAGTGAGAAATGCAGAAATGCATACAGAAGCTTCACCAGACCTGCTGCATCAGAATCCATGTTTTCAAAAGATCCACAAGATGTTTTGTATGTTAATGTTTTAGAGGCCTCAGTTCTCTCTGCACTTCTATTTCTTCATCTTTAAAATGTGATTAGAAACTTTTCCACCTAGGGCTGTTGTGGGGATTTTTTTTCCACACATTCGTTTGTTCAGCAAGTACAAGCATTGTTCAGGGTGAAGGACGCTCAGCGACCTTTCAGCAGTTTGCACGGAGATTTTGTGTCTAAGGCTTTGTTGACTGTTTCCTTGGAAGTCTCTTCTCTTTGACTGTAGCCCTATTTGGTTTATCTACTTTGAAATGCCTGCTTCTAGGCCACCTCTGCATGGTGTTCTGACTTCATAGCCAGTAGTCACTGTGTTTCTGCTCATGAATGTTCACTCTGGGAAGATTCCATCACAACAGAGCCTTTTTCAACCCCTTTTTAAAAACAATATGTAGGTCTGGCATTGTGGCACAGTGCTTAAGATTGCCCAAGTACTTGGACCCCTGACACCCATGGAGGAGACCCGAATGTCTTCCAGGCTTCTGGCTTCAGCTTGGCCCAGCCCTGGCCACTGTGGCCATTTGGGGAGTGAACCAATGCATGGAAGATCTTGCTCTCTCTGTGTCTCTCCCTATCTGTATATCTCCTTTGATTCCTTCCTTCCTTCCTTCCTTCCTTCCTTCCTTCCTTCCTTCCTTCCTTCCTTCCTTCTTTCCTTCTTTCCTTCTTTCCTTCTTTCCTTCCTTCCAGTTACAGGGGGTGGGGAGAGAGAGAGAGAGAGAGAGAGAGAGAGAGAGAGAGAGAGAGAGAAAGTCTTTCATCTGCTTGTTCACTCCTCAAATGGCCACAAAGATCAGGGCTGGGACAGGCCAAATCCAGGAGCCACAAGTTTCATCCAGGTCTCCCACATGGGTGCAGGGGCTCAAGCACCTAAACCACCCTCTGCTGCTTTCCCAGGTGCATTAGCAGGGAGCTGAATTGGAAGCGGAGCAGCTAGGAACAAACTGGCACCCATAAGCGATGTCAGCATCTGGGGGGTGCCTTAACCCACAATGCTGGCCCCAACTCTGCCTTTCAATAAAATAAATAAATCTTTTTTTTAAAAAAAAAGCGAAAAAACAGGGCCAGCACTATGGCACAGTGGATTAAAGCCCTGGCCTGAAGTGCAAGCTTCCCATATGGGTGCCAGTTCTAGTCCCGGCTACTCCTCTTCTGATCTAGCTCTCTGCTATGGCCTGGGAAAGCAGTGGAAGATGGCCCAAGGCCTTGGCCCCTGTACCCACGTGGGACACCCAGAAGATGCTCCTGGCTCCTGACTTCAGACTGGCTCAGCTCCGGCCATTGTGGCCATCTGGGGAGTGAACCAGCGGATTGAAGACCTCTCTCTCTGTCTCTACCTCTCTCTGTATCTCTATCTTTCAGATAAATAAAACAAATCTTTAAAAAAAAAAAAAAGAAAAAAAGTGAAAAAAATCATACGGGCTTTGTCATGTATTTTATGCTCTTCTATCCACGGATTAGGTAATTTTATAAATGGACTACGTTACTTACAGAAAAGCAGTTCCTTTTAGTTTTCAAACCATCTACACATATTTTTCCCATCAACTATTTCATATTGATACTTTGATTTAGCAGTTCTTACCTGAGCAGGTTACTCCAGCATCTTGTTGGTGAGTACAGTTATGCTTTCCCCATCCTTCATGTTTGCAATCCCAAAGAGCCAATTCATTTCCTCTGCAGGAAACATGGTCCATCCAAATGCGCCCAGAACCTGCGCTGGAATTAGCCCAGCTCGGGGCTTTGATGGCAGTTGGACATCCGAGCTGTCTGCATATCACAGAGACCTCCTCCATGCTCCAGTCATTATTACACACTGTGCCCCATTCCTCCTGGACTTTCACTTCTACTCTCCCACTACAATTGTTTTCACCAGCCATGAGCCTCAGTTGCTTCTCTGTTCCACCTGCAATGTTGGGTTAATACATCAATTGATTGAGGTCTCTTCAGGGAAGATAGAGACTACTCACTTTTCAGGTTTCTTACATAGTTTTCAAAGTCAGAGTTGAGAGTCACCCTGGACCCATCCATAGTATAGTATGAGAATGATATTTCATAGCCATTCAAATACAACTCTTAGTTTCACAGGCTTTAAATGAGGCTATGGAATACAATCAACAAAGCTAAGTAACACAATACTATATGGTATCTTTATTTTATGGCTGGATACTCTTCATAGTGGAACTTTATGGAATCTTCAAGGAGAATTTACCGGTTCAATAAGATGAATAGAATGAGCTGCATAAGTTTCTTCCAAATCATAAAATCAATGAAAGAAGGCTGATGGTGGACTTAGAAGAATGAAAAGAGTTTAACACCTATTTCCTATATATATGAAAAATTGCCTGAATTTTAAAAATAACAGTTGGAATATGACTGCACCTTATTAACATAAAGGGAAATTGAAATGGCGATAGTTTCATATTATCTTCTACCATAAAGTAAACTCCCCACACCCTTCCCAAATTCCATCAGTTGTCTCCTTGGCATTACTTTAGCATAATTCAGGAGCCTGCTTGTTCTACCAGCCTGGCTTCCTTCAATATATTTCTAGATAAATTTTGGCATTGGTTTAAGTGGTTTTAAAATTATCTTTTATCCTTGCTATTCTGAAATTTCTTCTTCTCTGTATTCTTCTTTGTTTTTCAGCTAGGCATTTTTTTTTTGTAAAATGCACTTTTCTCTGTATTTTATTTTGGAAGAGAAAACTTGCTGATATTTTGGTTTCACACGCTTAGCTTCTTATTGTATGCTTTTAATATCTCATCCTTTGAATCCATTGAGTATGTTAATTAGTTTTTAGATGCTGCTCAACCTTTAGAATTATTATTTGCTTTTTAATGATTTTTTGTCAGGGTGGGCTAAGGCTCCAAGTACAAAGCACTTACCAAGAGAACTGGCGATGAAGGAGGCACTGAGAAGTGAGACTAAAGCGATAGTGAAGGGATGCAAGTGGACAAAATCTCTTCTAAAATCTGTGAAAAAAGGGGGAAGTAGGAAAAGTATAGTCTTCCTTCAAGAAACTTTAGAAAAAGAAGGTGGTTTTAGAGGACTGAGATCAACAAAGAAAGTCAACCAGGAGGGAAAAATCCTTCCTTCTAAATGGAAGGAAGCCAAGAAAAAAATACATAGCAGGATTCCACAGTCTTGGTGAAATAGCTTGGCAAATGTTTGTGTTCACAGGCAAGCTAGGAGTGAGGGATTAGAAAAAACTTAGAGTGAAACAAATAATGGCAAGGACAAGCCTTAAAACCTGGAAAATTGAAAAGGCACCCGTGAAACAGAAGCGAGCAATTCTCTGTGTAGGCACAGAGCAGGTTTTCTGAGATTTCTATATTCCATTACCGCCTGAATATTCAACTACTGTGTGTCTGCCTGATCCATCTGTAAGAGGTAAGAAGGAATGTATTATATCATCTATTAGCTTCATCAGTACCTGGCAAGTGGTAACTGTACAATGTAATAAATGTTTCAGAGGTTTCCTCTGTAAAACCCCCAAATGGGATCCCATAATCTCTTTAGATACATCCTAAAGCGTTCTTTAGTGTTGTTAACAGTCCATTTCTCTTTATTTCTCTAACCCAATACTAGAAGGAAGAATATTAAATTATTTCAACTTGTTCATATAAATTATGAAGTAGATTTCAGTACTCAAGATATTACTCTAAATTTCTTCTAGATAATCACCTTTCAATCAACATTCACTTCTGCATATTCTATAATTTCTAAAATTTATGATTTTAATATTCAATATAGTTAACTTCAGTTCTTAATTTCATTTCAGCAGTTTTATAATTGACGTCAACTCTAATCCTTTTCTTATATCTTCACTTTTGAATATATGACAGATCAAAGGTACTGCTATCTAAGCTTTGGTGCCCTTTTTCTGTTTCTTACTCTTTTGATGCCAATTATTTTTAAATTTTATCTGTTGACTATAAGAATAATTGTATACTCACTACGGAGTGAATGTGGGATAAATTTGAAGTTTTTACCAATAGGTCCTGAGTCTTCAAGTAGTATCATTCTGAGTTTATCCATTGCAGTGCTTTATGATTCAAATTATTCTAGATCTTCTTATATCAGTCCATAGACGTATTCTCCTCAAAAAGAGAATTACTGAGAATTTTGAAAATCACTCACTCACAAAAATGGAAAGGCTATATAATGGAGGAGGAGGAGTTAACCCAAAAGGGGAAGTCATTGAAAGAGCTTAGGTTTCACTTCATGCTTATGTTTTCTTCAATATAGAACATTAAACAAATCAAAGGAAATTGAGAAATACTTCCCATATATTTATGAAACTTAAGCAGAAATATTAATATTTTGTTGCTGTTAAATTGAGTATTTTTAATTTTGGACTAACATTTTTTTTTTGGCTGCCAGGAAAATTTATTTTAGAATGACACTGAATCAATGTAATTTCACAGCAATGTTATAACTAGAATCAGAAATATAAACATCAAGATTATATATATATATATGCACACAAATTAATCTACAACTTGCAAATGCCCAGGTTCAGCATTCTGGATACAAAACAAAAATAACAGATTACAATTGTTTACTCTAGTTCCTTCAGTGACATGCTTCACAGATTAAAATTATACAATACTAGGAAAAAGTGCATCTTGTAGATTGTCTAACATCTTAAACATACAAAACACAATAATTGTTATATAGTTAAATTACTATTTTTATTTGCTAAAGCAAAACAGACAAAACATAAGTAATATTTTATCATTATATTCATGTTTAACATTTTCATAATAAAGTGTATAATGACTTTTTTACTTAGAGGTAGAGAGAGACACATAAGACACACACACACACACACACACACACACCTCCTATTTTCTAGTCCACTTTCCAAAAGCCCTAGGGTAGGTTAGGGTTGGAAATAGGATCTGGAATTTCCATCAAAGGCTCCCATGTGGATTGCAGAAACTCAACTACTTGAGCCATCACAGATACCCCCAGAGTCTGTGCTAGCAGGATGTCAGGGTCAAGAACCACAGCTGGGAATTGAACCCAGATACTACAGTGTGGAATGCAGACATCTTAACTACTAGGTTAAATGTTCAACCCATCTAATGGCTAATTTTGTATAGATTGTGTATGGACAACATTTGTGTTCCTTTTCTAATGGACAGAGCACACCAATAGAATTAGTGATGACTATTACTGATTACACAAGTGGTAAGATAAAAATGACCAAAACAGTGTTTCAGTTCCAAATAACTCAGATTCCAGTAAGGGAAACCATAGAATAGCAATAAACTAAAGGAAAAAATGGTCAGATCTGCTCAGAGAAAGGTACACATGAAAAACTTTGTTCTATGAAGAGAGGCTTAAATTGTGTCGAAAGGTAGGGACTTTGCTAAAGGTACAAAAAATAAAGGGGCTTGGGGCTGGCATTCTAACATAGCAGGTTATTTGTCTCCTGCAACACCAGCATCCCACATGGGCGCCAGTTCAAGTCCAGGCTGCTCTACTTCCGATACAGCTCAGTGCCAATGTGTCTGGGAAAGCAGCAGAAGATGGCCCAAGTAGTTGGGCCCCTGAACCCATGTGAGAGACCTGGAAAAAGCTCCTGGCTTCTGGCTTCGGCCTCTCCCAGCCCTGGCTATTGTAGCCATTTAGGGAGTGAACTAGTGAATAGACAATCTCTCTGCTTCTCCCTCCCTCTCTCTTTGTAGCCCTTTATTTCAAATAAATAAATAAATCTCAAATAAAAAAAGTAAAAGAGCTTAAGGCGGAAGAAGCAGCAATACAAGTGAACATCAGCAAGTAAAAACATGAGAATTTAAAACAACTACTAATGGTAAACATGGAATAAATACACAGGCACTACAAAAAGTTCATGAAAATGCATGTCATGAAAAAGTATGCATGAATTGAAAAACTTTATTTGCACCAAAATAAGCTTTTTTAAAAATTACTACAAACTTATTGAAGTACCCTTGAATTGTCAGGTGTCAGTCATATACCAGATATGGGGAATTAAAGAAATGTCTTCAGTCTTCCAGGGAAATATTCATTATAATACAATCAACAAGGGCGTTCTGGCTTGCTTTCCTTTCTTGGGCGTGCAAAACCTCGCCTTGTTTCATGGTATTTCACACATATTGTTCCTCTGTGTGTCCTGCCTCCCCAAAAGCTGCTCTGAGACTTTTCTCTGAGTACTTACCCCTGTATAGTATACTTTATTTTCTTTATTAAAGTTTATTTCTCAATTGAGCAATGATTTTTCACATCACTAGGAAAAATAACTAACTACTTGTTACTCCAGAAAACACAGTCTCATAGTAACTACACTTACAAAGAATGTCAACCACAGTTTTTGTATTTGTTCTTAGCCTTAAGTTGCCAAGGAAAGGGATGGTGAATAATTCGCCCTAGACTGCATGTTGCTCTATTCCACCCAAAATGCATTAAAGGAAAAATCCAAAGTATTAGATTTTTTCTTTTTTTCATGAGGAATAAGACTCATGCATTTTATAAGTACAACTTCAGAAATATAGTGATTCTTCACACTGTACCACCCTCCCACACAGACTCCCAACCCTCTTCCTCCTCCTTCACCCATTCCCAATCCTCTTCTCTACTAAGATCTATTTTCAGTTAACTTTATACACAGAAGACCAACAATACACTAAGTAATGAGATCAACAATTTGTATGGAAAAAAAACCTGTTCCTCAGCAGTTGAAACAAGGGCTGTTCAAAGTCTTTGCATCGCAAAGTTAATTTCATTTCTTTCTTTTTTTTTTTTGAGAAACTTATTAACTTTAAAGAAGCACCCAAGGGGGATGGTGCAGGGGCAAAGTGGGTTAATGCCTTGGCCTGAAGCACTGGCATCCCATATGGGCGCTGGTGCAAGACCCGGCTGCTCCACTTCCAATCCAGCTCTCTGCTATGGCCCAAGTCCTTGGCCCCTGAACTCACGTGGGAGATTCAGAAGAAGCTCCTGGCTCCTGGCTTCAGATAGGCCCATCTCTGGCCATTGTAGCCAATTGGGGAGTGAACCATTGGATGGAAGACCTCTCTCTCTTTCTGCCTCTCCTCTCTCTGTGTAACTCTGAATTTAAAATAAATAAACAAATCTTTATTTTTAAACTTTTATTTAATAAATATAAATTTCCAAAGTACAACTTTTGGATTATAGCAGTTTCCCCCCATAACCTCCCTCCCACCCGCAACCACCCCATTTCCCACTCCCTCTCCCATCCCATTCTTCATAATTCATTTTCATTTATCTTTATATACAAAAAATCAACTTAGTATATACTAAGTAAAGATTTCAACAGACTGCACCCGCAAAGATACACAAAGTGTAGAGTACAGTTTGGGTAGTAGTTTTACCGTTAATCCACATAGTACAACACATTAAGGACAGAGATCCTACATGAGGACAGGTGCACAGTGACTCCCGTTGTTGATTTAAACAATTGACACTCTTATTTATGACGTCAGTAATCACCCAAGGCTCTTGTCATGAGCTGCCAAGGCTATGGAAGCCTCTTCAGTTTGCCAACTCCGATCTTACTTAGACAAGGCCATAGTCAAAGTGGAAGGTCTCTCCACCCTTCAGAGAAAGGTACTGCCTTCTTTGATGGCCTATTTTTTCCACTGAGATCTCACTCACAGAGATCTTTCATTTAGGTCATTTTTTTTTCACCGTGTCTTGGCTTTCCATGCCTGTGAAGCTCTCATGGGCTTTTTAGCCAGATCCGAATGCCTTAAGGGCTGATTCTGAGGCCAGAGTGCTGCTTAGGGCATTTGCCATTCTATGAGCCTGCTGTGTATTGTACTTCTCATGTAGGATCAGTCTCTCCTTTTTAATTCTATCAATTATTATTTGCAGACACTGGTCTTATTTATAGATTCCTTTGACAATCCTATCTTTTTGATCAATTATGAACTGAAACTAAGCACTTTAACAAGTAAGATGGCATTTGTATATATTACCTTGATGGGATTGAATTGTAATCCCCTTGCACATTTCTAGCTCTACCATTAGGGGTAAGTTAGAGTGAGCATGTGTCAACATGTACATCTCCTCCCTCTCTTATTCCCACTCATATTTAATAGGGATTACTTTTCAGTTAAATTTAAACACCTAAGAATAATTGTGTGTTAATTAAAGAGTTCAACCAATGGTATTAAGTAGAACAAAACAAAAAATAGTAAAAGGAATAAAATAGTGAGCTATTCCTCAACAGTCAGGACGAGGGCTGATCAAGTCATTGTTTCTCATAGTATGCATTTCACTTCAACAGGTTTCCTTTTAGCTGTTCAGTCAGTTGTCACTGATCAGGGAGAATATATGATATTTGTCCATTGGGAATGGGTCATTTCACTCAGCATGATGTTTTCCAGATTTCTCCATTTGTTGCAAATGACCGGATTTCATTGTTTTTTATTGCTGTGTAGTATTCTATAGAGTACATATCCCATAATTTCTTTATCCAGTCTTCTGTTGATGGGCATTTAGGTTGATTCCCTGTCTTAGCTATTGTGAATTGAGCTGCAATAAACATTGAGGTGCAAACAGCTCTTTTATTTGCCAATTTAATTTCCTTTGGAAAAATTCCAAGGAGTAAGATGACTGGGTTGTATGGTAGGGCTATATTCAAGTTTCTAAGGAATCTCCCAACTGACTTCCACAGTGGCTTGGTAAGTTTGCATTCCCACCAACAGTAGATTAGTGTGCCTTTTCCCCCACATCCTTGCCAGCATCTGTTGTTAGTTGATTTCTGTATGTGAGCCATTCTAACCGGGGTGAGGTGAAACTTCATTGTGGTTTTGATTTGCATTTCCCTGATGGCTAGTGATCTTGAACATTTTTTCATGTGTCTGTTGGCCATTGGATTTCCTCTTTTGAAAAATGTCTGTTGAGGTCCTTGGCCCATCTCTTAAATGGGTTGTTTGTTTTGATGTTGTGGAGTTTCTTGATCTCTTGAGATTCTGGTTATTAACCCTTTATCAGTTGCATAACTTGCAAATATTTTTCCCATTCTGTTGGTTGTCTCTTCACTTTCCTGACTGTTTCTTTTGCAGTACAGAAACTTCTCAATTTGACGTAATCCCAATTGTTAATTTTTGCTTTGGCTCGTGTGCCTCTGGGGTCTTTTCCAAGAAATCTTTG